AGCAATCTAGATGAAGAGACCTTCCTTTATAAAGGAAGGCATGCCAGCTGGATTGGACCACAGTACAATTGCCAAGAACAGGAAAAGAAAAAGAGTGACCATTTATTGAGAACCTACTGGGGGCCAAATCCATGTTAGGTGCTTTATATATGCTATCTAAACTTTAATCCTCATAACAACACTAAATCAAGGGGTAAAGATGTAAATAAATAAATGTCAGATAAAAATATCCCCAATTTATTTATGAGGAAAACAAGACTCAGAGCATGACTTGCACAAATGCTGAAAAGCAATGGAGCCTTATTTGACTCTAAAATCTGTGTAATTTCTTCCACACAGCCAGCCAGGAGTGAATAAATGTGGGTGGAGGCATCAAGCAGCAAACAGCAAGGGCACTTGTGTAATGCTTTATAGTTTAATGAAGGAATTTCATTTACATTAACTCTTAATTTAATCCTCATAACATCCTCATGTGGTAGGCAGAGCAGGTGATACAATCTTTATTTTACAAGTAAAGATATCAGTACTCAGAGAATCAAGTGACCTACCCAAGGTCACCCAGCTAGCCAGTGAGGTTGCAGGGCAGACCTTGACCCCAGGCTCCCTGTCAGCAAGCGGCAGATAAGCACCCCTACTGGCTGCCCTATAGGGCAAGGAGGACATCAGCGGGCTGGAGCGAGTGCTCATTGCTGATGTGGATGTGGGTAAGGGAACAACTCAAAAACCTAACCTTCCCAAGAAAATGTAATACTCTGTTATTATTTTTTAATCATCTTGAGGCTTCAGAAGGCACAGGAGAAGGAAAGCCCTGACTAATGGCAAAAGAAACAGAGCAGTTTAGGACAGAGAACATTGCTGTTTCTTCTACACCAGGCAAGGCTGCTTTTTACTACTGACAACATTGATGTACTGGATTATTTTGGAGAAGGGGGCTGTAATTCTATCGACCAGTGAACTTATTGACTTTCATGTGATTTCTTCAGCAAAGCTAGAATCTTAAAAAAACAAAACAAAAAAAACCTCAAAATGAAATCAACTGTGTTCATTTCATAATCCATTGAAGACATGTAAGTTTAACATCCGTCAGGTATCCTCAGAACATTTAGTGTAACCAGTTATTTAAACTCCACTTAAGTCAAGCACCATCTTATCCAAGCCCTCAAAATAGAAGTTTTGCCTGTTAATTGTTGATTCACTTGCTGGTAACTGGTTTCCATGTGGTCTCAACTGAGACCAAATCCCCCCAGCTGGGAGTTTTTCTTTTCCCTATGCCACCAATTCATGTCTATTGTCCTCTCTCAAGCTTGGCTGAGAAACTGTGGAGTTTTGTTTCTTCAACCAAGATGTTACAAAATCCTGGAGCAGAACCTGAGCTTTTCTGTAACTTTCTAAGCCTCACTGTGGCTCAAGTTCACCCAAGCACCTTAAAAGAACAAACAGATGGGGCCATCTGGGTGGCTCAGTCAGTTAAACATCTGATTATTGATTTTAGCTCAGGTCATGATCGCAGGGTCATTAGATGGCTCCCAACATTGGGCTCTGCCTGCTAAGATTTTCCCTCTCTGTCTGCTCCCCCTTCTCCCCCCACCCCATGCTCTCTCTCTCTCTCTAAAAAAAAAAAAAAAAAAAAGAAAAAGAAAAAAGAACTTACAGATGCCTGAAGTGCTCTCAGAAAGGATTCTGCTACAGAGAAATGTGTTAAACTACATAATGAGAATGCCATATCAGCCTGTCAGCAAAATGCAAACTATGGAAAAAAGAGATGAAGGGAGAGCTTATAGATTCAAAGAGACTTTAGAGAACTGACAACCAATGTGACAGTTGAACTTAGTTGATTCCCATTTTAAACAAATACAAAACAACAGAAACAAACAAAAACAAAAGAAAATTTGGGACATTTGGAAGATAACTGAAATTTTGAACATCATTTGGGTATTTGATGATATCAAAGACCTTTTGCTATTTTCTGTTTGGATGTAATAATGGTATTGTGGGTTTTTTTTTTAAGAGTTGACATCTGATAGAGAAATTTACTGAAATATTTTGATAATATTTGAGACTAATGTGATGATAAAATAGTATGATGTCTAGAATTTCCTTCAAAAAGGAGTATATAGAAACCTAGATTAAGCAAGACTGGCCATTAGTTGATAATTATTGCAGCTGGGTATAAGGTTAATGGGGGCAAGTGGGGTTTGTTATGCTTTTTTGGCCTACTTCAGTATATTTGTGAAAATTATAATAAAATTTCAATTCCCCTCGGTTTTTGAACTGTTGTATTCTCCACCCCTCCCACAACCTTAACACACTCATATGCACATTCATATATAGAGACCACCTGTTCCAGTGTGAATTCAATGTTTATTCCCCAGAGGAGAAGAAAGGAGAGGTGGGAGTAAAGTACTTTTGTACTGTGTACAAATACAACACATTTTAGACTTTCTCATATGATTTGTACTAGTTCTATACTGAGAGAAGAGCTGTTACGTCAAATCAGTCCAGTTACCTCTAAAGACCAGTCCCCTCTCCTTTTAAATTAAAACAATTTGTTTCTTTCTTTTTAAACTGCCATGCCTGTAATTTATGAGGTTTGTGTGTTTGTGTTTGTGTATGTGGGACCGCCACGTATATATGTGCAGACTGTGCACAGGACAAGGGTTTCAAATCCAGGGGGCATCCTGGACGTTGTCAATATTGCAGGTTTGCATTTTTATGATGACAACCATCTTGCAAGTAGTAATAAACGTCTTGTTGTAACAAAACAGTATTTGATAACTTTTCAACAGATGGAAGCAAAAGTGTCTTAAGGTGAGGGCTCCTTTTCTAATTATGGACTTACATATGGGATAGCAGTGGATTTGATCTGCGTGACTGCCTGAGTTTGAATTCCTTCCTCTTATATCACTCACTGACTTGATAATCTTCCTAAGTTTCTGAATGGCCCTGATCCTAAGTTTTCTTCATCTGTAAAATGGGAGGGTAAAACGAAGAAAATTGTTCAAAGTTTTAGATCCATATGAAACAGTGCCTGCTAAGTTGTAAGCCCTCAGTGTCAGAGGTTAACTCTTATCATATCTACTCATACATATTTAATTTTCTGGGTGAGTGGGTGTGTGTCTCTGTGTGTGTGGTGTCATTCCTAAATTCATTGAGTCAGTTATTGGAATGGACTTCCAGAGGACTGTGTCCACTGTTTTACTAACTCAGACAATTTTAAAAAGAGGACTTTTTTTTTTTTCCTAACCACCAAGTTTTGAAAGATGCTGTAAAGCTCAAGGTCCAGGTAAGCAGCAGGGTTTTAGAAGTCTTTCTGCACACAGGAGCTATGTGTATATGCTGCTCAAGAGCTCTTTGAAGAAATATTCTGGGGTTTTTCCATCCTGCTAACGACTTGGCCAGTAAGCCTGCGATGGGAAAAGATCCAGTGGGAGTTGCCAGCGCAAAAGGGGTATTACCCCACAGGCAGAATAGAGTCAAAATGCCTCAAGAGGTTAAAAGTCTATTTTTAAAAGGAAAGAACACAGAGTATGCCTTTAACTTGTGTTAAAAATAAACTCAGCTGCCTCCTTTACGCTTCCCACCCCCTCCCCTGTCCTCCCATACCCTGTACTGCCCATAGGGAAGAAAGAGTACTAGTGTTTCATTTAGTTTCCCCACATGAGTTTTTCTTTTCTTTTCTTTTTTTCATCTTTAGCCAAACATGAGCTACTTGGTTTTCAGTTCACAAAACAAGTTGCATTCTCTCTCAAAATTTCCTCAGGGATCTGAAAGAAGCAGGTTGGATTATAATCTAGAATCGACCTATGTCAGGGGCTAAGGAAAAAATCCACACAGAGATAAACAAGATGGATCCCTGCCAGGTTTCCCTCGTGCCTGGGAAGTATCTGCAGGGGAGGTCATTCATGCAAGAGGGCCTTTCATGGAATGCTATTTAGTGTTGGGCTTTAAGCACAGGCTTTTCCTGAGGCATGGCTACCCATAGAAACTCTGCGTTGCTGAGTTACTTTCAGTAAATTCCATTAAACAACTACAAAAATCCTATAGATCAGATGTGCCAGTCTTTGTTTGCAAAAGAGCTGCTCTGTATAGAAGAAAAGCCGCTGTCTAGAGTGAATAATCGTGATTTCTTAATGTATGTAGATGGTAGAGGGGGATTTCAAGACCCCAATGGGAAGCAAAGATTTTGAAGAATAGAGAGACCCAGTTCTGCCTATATGTAGTACTGATATTTCATTGATGGGAGAGGATGAGAGGTGAAGGGGTCACTGGGAACTTGTTTATTTAAAAAGATTTTTTTTTTTTAAAGAGACAGCCCTCAGTCCACATATAATGAAGGAAGAAGCAACAGAATTCATTTTAAGAAATAAAAGTCTAGTCTCAGGTCAGCTTCTCCCTTGAAACATGACCTCTGTGAAGCCATTAACTTCCCTATGGTTTCCTTTTTACAAAATGTGATCCTCACCTTCTTAGATCTATTCTTTAATAGGAATATTGCTGAGTTATATACAGTTGACAAAAACAAAATACTGTATCAGAGCACATAAACACGTTTAAAATCTTAGTACAAATGTGTACTGATTTAAACATCTTTCAAATGTGATGAAGTGATATTGATGCATATCTAGAAAGGTAGAAGGGAAATGTTATCAATAAAGGTTGAAGTTGGGCCAATTGTTTTGTATTTTTTATGAGAAGGAAACTCTCTAGTGGGGGCATTAGCACCTACCCGTATACGCCTTGAAAACAGAATAAAGGTAGAATGCCAAGTTCCTAGCCAGCAACGATCAGCCTCTGGGGCACTATGAAATTCTGGCAAGGGGTCTTCTACTCCATATGTTCAACAGACATTGTCCAAGACCCAACGAAGACCTTGTTTTCACCATGTATATATGCAACTATTTTTCAAATGTATATAGATTGGTTGTGATTAATAAGATATAATTGATAAATTATAAATTCATTAATTTTGTTTCTGTATTATTAATAAAATAAAAACTCACTTTAAAACATTAGCAAGGGATCCCTGGGTGGCGCAGCGGTTTGGCGCCTGCCTTTGGCCCAGGGCGCGATCCTGGAGACCCGGGATCGAGTCCCACGTCGGGCTCCCGGTGCATGGAGCCTGCTTCTCCCTCTGCCTGGGTCTCTGCCTCTCTCTCTCTCTGTGACTATCATAAATAAATAAAATTAAAAAAAAAAAAACATTAGCAAAATCAAGTAGATTTTCAGCATGTGTTTTCTTCAGCATTGATCATTATGGATTTATTGGTATCAATCTATACTGATTAATTTGTATTAAATTGTATTTATTTGTATTGATATACTTGCTGAAATAATTTCCTTTCCTTGATCTCACTATATACTTTGTCTATGTTTTACAAAAGCAAAAGCTAAAATATAATAAGTATAATGGACAGGAGTGTATATAACAAGTCCAGTGGTGTATACTAAAACATCAGGACTGCCTCACATCTGATACTTTTCATTTCAGCAAACACTACATCCTGGTCACTCACTATCATTTCTGATGATTCAATTATTGTTGAAATGTGTATGACTTTTTTGGTCATTTGTATATTTTTGTATTGAGACATAATGAACATATTGTATTAGTTTTAGGTGTATAACATGATGATTAGATATTAGTATATACTATGAAATGATCACCATAGTAAGTTTAGTCAACATCCATCACCTCACATAGTTACAAATATTTTTCTTTTCTTTTCTTTTCTTTTTAAGGATTTTATTTACTTATTTGAGAGAAAGAGAGAGTGTGAGCAGGGTGGGTGCAGAGGGAGAGTGTTAAGCAGATTCCCCGCTGAGTGTGGAGCCCAATGTGCAGCTTGATCTCACAACCCTGAGATCATGACCTGAGCCAAAAACTTAGTCACCCAGGCACTCCACAAATTTTTGTTCTTGTGATGAAAACTTTTAAGATCTACTTCTTAGCAACTTTCAAACATATGGTCCAGTATCGTTAATTATCATCACCGGGCTGCACATTTCATCCCCAGAACTTACTTATCTTGTGACTGGAAGCTTGCAACTTTTGACGCCCTTCATCCATTTCAACTGCTTCCCAGCCCCTGCCTCTAGCAACCACTCAACATATATTTCTTAATCAACTAATTCTAAAATTACAAATTCTCTCAGTTAGGAACCCTGGAACTTAATATTTAACTTTGTGCCTTAAAAAGGCATCTGCCACATTAGTTCATTAAACAAGTAATGGGACAATGATGCTTGTCAGTAATTCAATGTACTGCACTAAAAGTGAAGAATCAAGTCTAAGATAAAAACTTTTGAGCCAGTATCTATTTATTTGTGTTGTTCCAGAAAGGACTAAGGATGGCTTACAAAAATACATATAATTCAGCAAGATACAATCCTTTAAATATAAAAGAGGGGGAAAAGACAAAGAAAATAGGCTAGAAAGTGTGTGGCAGTGGTAAGGTTAGGACATAAAAGGCAGACAAAGGGAAAAGGGTACCATTAGCAGATACATAATTCATATTACTTGTTAAATAAATACACATTGGCTTCTTACAAGAAGACCAAATCTTTCAGCTGGCAAGATGAGAGAAAATTAAGGAAGGGCAGCATCCCCAAAGCATACTGTTGCAAATAGGCCAAAAACTGAGTTTTAGCCAATATCCTCATGCCAAAATTTGAGTCAGTAACTAAACCAGTAAGGCTTAGTAACTAAGCCTTTCCAACATTTGGTAGAAATTATCTTTGCCTTCTTATATGGGAAACAGGCAGAGAAAAGTGATCTGCTTCCATATCATACACCACGTCAATTACACAGATAAAAATAGAAATAATGTGTCCTAGCAAGATGTAATTCTCAGTCTTGTCTTACCTCCAGATGTGTTTCCAAATTATGATCTTTAAGTGCCCTTGAGAACTCTCCAATGGTGACATTTTACCCCATTTTGTTTTCTCTTACATTGTCCTGTTGCAATTTTCCCCCTTCTGACTCTTAGCCTTGGCCACCCTGAGCACTCAGCAAGATGGAAAAATGGATGGCCTCTGGGAGGAGAGGGTCAGAAGAAGACATCCCAAAACTACATGAAATGGCAAAGCTGGGACTCCTGGGAATACATTGTGAAGACAGCCTAAAATCAGTCCCTGAAGACAGGCTGGGCCTGCAACTCATGACTGGACACCTCACTGCTGACTGAGAAGTCCAAAAAACAAGTCTGGGAACCTTCCCTCTCCCTGGGTACTAGCAAATCATCAATCCATTTAAAACTCATGAAGCACGGGGCATCTTGGTGGCTCAGTTGGTTAAGAGTCTGCCTTTGGCTCAGGTCACGATCTCAGAGTCTTGGGATGGAGCCCTGCATCTGGCTTCCTGCTCAATAGGGAGTCTGTTTGTCCCTCTCCCACTGTCCCTACTCCCCGCTTGTGCTCTCTCTTGCTCTGTTTTCTCTCAAATAAATAAATACAATCTTTAAGAAATAATAATAAATAAACAAACAAACAAATAAATAAATAATAAAACTCATGGTGCAGACATGCAGTGAGTACCTTCCAGGCGCTAGGCACTGAGCTAGTGCTAAGGAAAGAGAAGCAAAAGGTGTATAGCCTGTGCCACTACCTTCAGTCTAGCTGGAGAGTCTATTTTATAAAAATTTCAATATGGTGGTTAAACACACAGGCTCTGGATCCAATTCCTGAGTCCTACTTCCATTTTTGCTATGTCACCTAGGACAAGTCGCACTTCTGGGGTTTCAGTTTTATCATCTGTAAAATGGAGATTTAAGTTACAGAGAAAAAGCTTGGAATGGTACTGGGCATGGCTTCCACCCTCAGACCACTGTTTCCTCCTGAGATACTTGTCTCTGTCATGGGGACCAGAATTGACTGTGCATATGTTATTCCAGGCACTGTTCAAAATATTTGACACATTTTGATTCATTTAATCTTTTTTATATCGCTATACAGAGGATACTACTATTTCCTGCATTTCATACATCTGAGGCAGAGGGATTCAGTGCTTTGCCTAAGGCTCTCAGAGAGGCAATATGTTAACAGTCCTTATGGATCACACACTCGGGACAAATTATCTGGGCCCTCCCTAGAAGTTGTGTGACATTGGGCGAATGTCACACAACTTCTCTGGGTCTGTCTCTTACCTGTTTGCTCTCAATCCATTCCCCATCTTCCCCATAACTTCTGAGAACTACATTTCAGCCACTGAGTGTCTGGTTAGCTCAGCCAATGAAAAGCACTGGTAGACTCTAATCTGTAAAGAGGAGAGAAATGTCAGGGTGTTTCATGCCCTCTGTTTGGGGTGGCAGCTCTGGCATGGCGGCAATTATTCCTGGGTTCCAATTCCTTTTTTCCCCTTTGGATACCAATTCCTGTTGGGCAGCCCAGAACCTCAGCTCTGGTGACATCGCCTCCCACTCCTGCACCCCACCCCCATCCCTGTGACTTACAGCAGCAGCCTCCTACTCTTGCTCCTTTCCAAGTTGCCTTGCTCACCTACTATCTGCCTTCTGTGCTCTTGCAATACCCTTGTGGTGGAGCCCTGTATTGAATTTCCTCTGGCGAATTACTAGGGTAGCTTCGGTTTTCCCAATGGACTGTGATGGATACATTTTGTGCTTCCACTTCTTCATCTGAAAAATGCTAATTGTACCTACTTCAAAGGGTTGTTGTGAAATTAAATGAGTGAATACATTTGAAGTGCTCTGAACAGGACCAGGCACATAGCAAGCAAGCAGCAGCTATTCTGGAACATAGCCAAGGAACCAAATTCCCTTTCTAGAATCTTAGGAAGGAGATCCTGAAGCCTTAAAGGGATGAGATAGGTAGTAGTAAACCAGGAAAAGCAAAAGAGAAGTGTTTCAGGCAAAGGGATCAAACAGTTCCGTGGCCAAGAGGTAAGAGACAGCAGGTGTCTTTCTAAAAACCAGGAAAGGAAAAAGGTTCAGAAAGACAGGACCATGTGGACAGCACAAGGTGAGGGGAGAGTCTGGGAAGAAGAATGAGACTGGAAGGGACAACAGAGCCAGATCATACCTTTTGATTAATGTTAAGGGTGTTCAATTTGTTTTCAAAAGGAGGCCGTTAGACAGAAGTGGCTCTAAATGCCTGACATAAACAAACCAAAATCTAAGCCTATAAATGCCTCAAAGTTAAGAAATCAAAATGAAGGACAACCAATCACAAACAGCCAACTAGGCTTAAAGATATAGTCCGATAGCTTCCTTTCTTTTGCTTCTGCCCCTGCTCGGTGTGTCATTCTCCTGACTCCTATCAGTGGAGCGTTTCTAATCACTTCTAGTTCAGGATTCTATTCCAACTTGGATTTTTGCTTAAATAAACCAAAAACTTTTAATATGCTTCAGTCTATCCTTTAACAGGCTTTGATCTGAAGACAATAGGAAACCATTGGAGCATTTTAATTAGTGGAGTGACACAACTGACTTTATGGTTTAGAGAGATTTCTTTGATTATAACATAGTTAAGTATATGGGGGGGGGCAAAAAGACAGAGAGGCAGGAAGAGCTATTAAGAGGCCACAGCATGTGTCCATTTAGGAAGCAATACCTTGGACTAGGTGGTGACATTCAGGAGGTAAGAGTGATGGGACAGTCATGAGACTGGAAGTGGTAGCCAAGGGAGAGGGAGGCATCAAAAAGGATGGCCGGGTCTCTGACCCAGGGAAATGCAAACAACAAGCAGCACAGCAGAGTTATGGTTTACACAACCCACAGCCAAACCCCCAGCTCTACCCACAACTAGCTGTTGAAACTGGGGCCAGGTACCAAATCACTCTATGCTTCATATGTGTGGAATGGGGAAAATAGCTGTACCTCCCGTGCTAGGTTCTCAAACAGGCAAAATGAGGTAAAGTATGTCAGATGCTTGGAATAGAGCCTGGACTATCATGAGCACAGTGAGTCTGGGTCACTATTAGAGACAAGGATCTCAGAAGAAGACATAATCTCAGGGGTGGGAGCATGATGAATTCAGATCAGTCATGCTGACTATGAGACATTTATGAAACCAAAGAGTACTGGTCTAGAGATAAAGTGAAAACAGATTTATAGGGCACACTCAGGGGAATGTCAACATTTAAGTGACAATTTCAGAAAGACAAGCTGTGATATTGTGATTTATAACAAGAAATATATATTCAGTCATTGTTCTGTTCCTGATACAGACCCCCCTAAAACCCTTCAAATTTTCTGTGATGAGAGTAATCAGTGTGTCTTTTGTGATGTTAATGGTGACGTTTGGAAAGCACTTAAGGCTGGGAGCTGGTTGCAAGGGGAATAAACAGTAGGATTTAAGTGTTAGAATTTTCCATCTCAACCCCAACCTTTGGGGAGGATGGGTGGAGGGAGAGGTTGGTGGATGAATCAGTCGCCAATGGCCAATGATTTAATCAATCATGCCTGTGTAATGAAGCCTGCATAAATACCCAAAAATGATAAGGTTTGAAGGGCTTTCAGGTGGGTATACACATGAATGTGCTGAAAGAGGATATCAATCACCTCCATTTTGACCTCAATCTGTACTTTCTAATTGATTAAGTTCTTCTTTCCAGCTTATCTCTTAACTCAGGCAAAGGATCCTTTGGACAAAGCACCCTGTGATGGGAACCAAAAGTACCCTTAAGCAGTAAGGACTAGCCTAAGCCAGCAAGACCCCAGAGTAACTGACCCCAAGACAATGATCCACCTGACCCTTATTGCCCACCTGCATGTACTCACTGACCTTTGTTTCACATTTTCTTTATATAAACCTAGAAGTATTTTCAGCATTTTGGAGACACTAGACTACTGCCTTCCCAGCATTGGTCTCACTGAAATAACTCCCTTTCTTGTTTCACCACCACTCATCTTTTTGCCTTTGGACTTTGTCAGCAGCACGTGGCCGAACCTATTCTGCTTGGAACCCCCTGTGTCAGGTGCTCTTGCATCTGCGTGCCCCAGATACAGTGCTGGGAGAGCGGTGTACCTGGAGAGGGCATGGAAGCTCTGCACCCCTTCCCACAAACCTTGCCCTTGCATCTCTTCCATCTGGCCATTCCTGAGTTATAAACTCTTACAATAAACTAATAATCTAGTAAGTAAACTGTTTCTCTGAGTTCTATGAGACACTCTAGCAAATTAATTGAACCCAAGGAGGAAATTGTTGGAACCTCCAATCTATAGCCAGTCAGAAGCACAGGTAACAACCCGGGTTTGTGCCTGGCATCAGAAGTTGGAAAGCAGATGACAGTAGGACTGAACACTTTCTTATAGAATCTCACACTATCTCCAGGTACATAATGTCAGAACTGAGTTGAACTGTTAGACACATAGCTTGTCAAGAGACCTGCTGAGATGTGTTGGGAAGAAAACCCACATGCTGGAGTTGGTTCAAGAGTCATAGAGGCCTAAGAGGAGACTGGAGAAAAGCAGTCTGAAAAGTAGGAGCCAGCAGTGGCTGCAGTCCAGCTGTGAGGGGAAAAGAAAGACACCATAAAAATATCAGGAGCTGGGACTGAGAATTACTGGTGTGACTTGGAGTCTTCACTTATCCTCTCCAGCCAGGGGTCATGTGACATGGTGGCAAGAAGCTTGCCTCAGTTGACCTGTAAAAGAGCAAACACCAGACATCCATGTCTGATATTCTGTGCTGACCTTGGTGACTAGAAATGACACAGCCCAATTTTTCTGGCCACTCCATTGAACCCCTTGAGCTTTATGTTCATGTGACAAACCACAAAGCAGATATTCCTACTGAGTACAAATAGCTGCTGTGATTGAGAACAAACATGAATGTAGGTATCTGCCTTCTCCTATAACACAAGGCCATCTGTAGGTTCCTCATCTCCTTTCCAAGGTTCAAATAACTACTTGAGTAATTGTAGCCTCACATTTTTGTTTTGTTTTGTTAAAGACTTTGATTCCAGAAGGTTGTTCATATGCTGTGTTTATTAAAATCCCAAGACCTGGCCCAAGGCCTCACTCCCAGGATTCTGATGACAATGCCAGCATTCTGTTAGCCCAGAAGAGGCCTTTGCCAGAGGACACCAGGGGGATTACTCTGATTCAATGCAGAACGGTTGTGAAAGCGCTTTATATTCTTTCTAGCACAAGCAAAGGGAGTTGTTATTTTTATAATCATCATCAGAGCTTTCTACTACATTGTTTTGGGAAATAGTCATAAAAAAAAAAGAGTACTTCTCTTTTGAATTCTACTACCCTCAAACTTTCATTAACACTCAATCCATTTTAGAAAAGTTCGGCATTAAGCTTCCTGCAGTGCTTTGGCACAGTAATACTTAATGCATTTGGGATAACACAATAATTTCTTGCTTTAGAGGAAAAGAATTTCTCTGACAAAATGAACCTTTTTGCCCTAAGATGGACCAGTTCTATTTCTCATTCCTCCATTCTCAAGGTTAGTTGGATTGCTGAACTCCCACACACTGAAAAGAAAGTATTAAACAGCATCCAAACCAGCATGGAAGGGACATGGAAAGAAACCAGAACTAAGGCTGACCAGTCTGAAAGCTAGTAAATGCTATCAAATTAAAAACTTCCCATTTATCAATAGGTAACCAATAAAAAGGGAATATGCATAAGTTTTTCAAAGCTCCATGAAAAATGAAATGAATTAGCATAATTGACTTTATTATGCAGCAATAACATAAATGGCAATCCACTCTCGTAGAATATTAGTGTTGAAATTAGGAAATGGTAGCACATTCACACACAAGAGCTAATGGAAGCTCTAAATATAGATTATAGTCCATCTGGACGACAAGAGCCTGCCTCAACACATTAACCAGAGGACCAAACCAGAGAAGGGAAACAGCTCTTAAAAATGCAAAAGAAAAAAGAGATTCACTTGGAATTTTATCTGGTAAAATATCAAGTCATAGAATCAAGTCATCTGTTTCATGGATTATTTTTATAACTCAGATGTTATTTTTGATGCTGTCTTTAGATGTATAAAAAGAGATTTTTCTCCCTTTAAACTTGAAAGAGTTTTGTCGAAGTAGGTACCTCACAACTTGTAAATGGCATTCAGTTGTTGAAAATAATTTTGATGATTTGGCTTTGACATTCCCTACATTTGCACAATAAACAGGGCTGCTGTTTCTATTCTTCCAAAGCCATTTTAAACACTAGACCATGGGGACCAAGTCCTTTTAGCATTTTGCAAGAGTTATGCTTTGCACTAACTGAACAACAAGCTTATGTTTGCAAAACCAAATTTTTTTTCCAGTTTCGGCTCTGCTTATTAACAAAGTAGATATTTCTCAAGCCAACATTTCCTCTTTGTTTATGGTTGGAGATGTTGACCCACATGAAAAAACAAAATCCACTGATGAGCACAGAAAATTACCCCAACACAGAAATCTCTCTTTAAAACAATCCTGTGGCACACAAGTCATCATGATAACCAATGTACTCATAGAAAGTCAACAATGGCTATTTGCCGTTGATCCAGTTCCTCCATTTATGAGATTTTTGTAACATAAATAGATCAGAGAGTCTTGCAAAAATGTGTATTTATGGTTGAACTTTTACGCATTTCAGAATTTGTTTGGAGTACTGAGGCATGATATCCTGAGTGTGTTGTTTTCTTTTGTGCAAACTCTGGTGAAAAACAAGAACAGTGAGCAGAATAAAGAAAATTTAATCCAGGCCCCGGGTTAATAGGAAAGATCACCTCTGGGCCTGGGGTCTGTGGGGCTTTAGTTCTCCTTGCTGGGCTCTCCAGAGAAACTAACTTACCAAATATTAATCAGATCTGTAAACCCTCTGCTTCAAAGCTTCCAGAGCCAGAGCACCTGGATGGCTCAATAGGTTAAGCTTCATACTCTTGGTTTCAGCTCCAGTCCTGGTCTCATGGGTTACAGGATCAAATCCTGTGACAGGCATGCACTAAGCAGGGAGTATGCCTGAAGATTCTTTTCCTCTGCCCCTCCCCACCACTAGCTCATGCTCCCTCTCTCAGTCTCTCAAGTAGATAAATAAATCTTTAAAAAGATAAGTTTCCAATGGCTCTTATTCACTCTTAAATAAAACTTCTGACCCTGGCCAACAAAACTCTACACAATCTAACCCCCTGCTCAGAATTTACCAGCCCTGATATGGGCTGAATTGTGTCCCCTCAAACCTTAGTACCTCAGAATATGACCATTTTGGGTAATAAGGTATTTAAAGAAGTAATTAAGGTAACATGAGATGACATGAGTGGGCCCTAATGCAATGCAACTGGTGTCCTTTTAAGGAAAAGAGATTAGAAGAAGGCCAGCACAGACAAAAGACCACCAGAGGGAGAAGGTGGCCATCTATAAGGCAATGAGGGAGGCCCGAGGAGAAACCAACCCTGCTAACAACTTGATCTTGGACTTCTTGACTTCAGAACTTTGACAAAATTAACATCTGTTACTTAAGCCAGCCAGGCTGTGATTCTTTGTTACAGCAGCCCTAACAAATAAATAGAAGCCCATTCCTTCTCCACAACTCCTCTGAACTCCACCCATCCTTGGCTTCTTTCTATTTCTTTCAATATACCTGACTGGTTCCTACTGTAGGTTCTTTGCACTAGCTGTGCCCTCCCTGATTTTTGCATGGCTCCTTCTTGTTTTTCAGGTCTCAACTTAAATATCACATCCTCAAAGACTAGATAACCTAGAGTAGTTCTCTCAACCTGACTTTCTTATCTTCTGTACCCCCTAATTAGCTCTGAGGACAGATACTATGTCTCTCTTCTTCACTACATCATCCCCAAGTCTTAGAACAGAGTTTGGCACTTGGTAGGAACCTCAGGAAATTTTTATTGGATGAATGAATGTTTGAATGAATGCATAACAACTGAACTTTTTTTTTTTAAGTCACTAAAATCAATTCATTGGTGTGAAAGGCCTGCCAAAAGGTAAAGATAACAGAATCAGTTAAGCCAAATTGAACTAGACTGAATTGAATTAGGCAAATGAAAAATGACCAATCTATAGAATTTGATTTCTAAAATTTCATTCTAATTCTCCGTGTTCTAGTCTTGACAATGGAGTCTCTCTCAAAAATAAAGCAAAGAGGGATCTATTAAGAGACAAGACTATCTGAAGATAGTTTCATCTGGAGAGAACAATTAGAAGAAAGGGTGCAAGGAAATGACTATCTATTGTGTTCCCTCTTGTACTGTTCAAAACTTTTATCAGTGCATATATAACCTTTAGAAAGAAGTTTTACAAAAGATAAAGCAGAGTTGAGTAATTACTTGCCTTAAGGATATAAATGAAACTCTGGCCATTTCCTCATCCACCCCAAACACATACCATCATACCTGCTTCTGCCCCTTTGATCCTGTTGATAAGGCTGAAAGGACCCCCACCCCCACCCCCTGCAACATCTCTTCCACAAGTTCTCTGTCAATTCAGAACCTCTAGTACATTCCTGTAGTAGGTGGATTTGAATTATGACTTTCCTTAACACATCTGTCTTAATCTGACCTTTGTGAAGGCAGAGACTCAGTCTTACTCATGTTAGTAATCACACAACATTCAGCCCATGAAAGGGCTCCAGTGATACTTGGAGTAAATGCAGAGTACAGCTCTTTTCTAAAGACTGCAGCTGACCCATGCAACTCTTCATTCCTTTCCTGCACTCCTCTGAGTTCTTATTAACTGATCCTCCAGTTCTAGCACTTGATAACTTACAGCATATCAAAAAGGGCAAAAGAGAGCACTAGATCAATAAATACTTCACCAGGGGCCAAGGTTGAGGTGCATCCTACTTACCTGTCTTAATCCAAAAGGTGGGGGGATGGGAAGGAGCAGAGCTCTATTAAAGGCTTCTTTAAAAATTGAGATATAATTCACATACCATAAAATTCACTATTTTAAGGTATGCAATTCAGGAGTTTTTAGTATAATCATATTATGCAGCCATCATCACTATATAATTCCAGAGTATTTTCATTTCCAGAAAAAGAAGCTCATAGCTATTAGAAGTCACTCCCAATATCTCCTCTCCCATTGGGCCTTGGCAACCACTAATCTACTTTTTTGTCTCCATGGATTTGCATGGATTTTCTGGACATTTCACATAGAATCATACAGTATGCAGCCCTTTGTTTTTCACTTCTTTTACTTAGCATAATGTTTTCAAGGTTCATGCATGTTGTAGCATGTATCAATACATCATTCCTTTTTATGGTTGGGTAATATTCCACTGTATAGGTACAACAGTTATCTTTTAGTCAGTTGATAGACATTTGGGTTGTTTTCACTTTGGGGCTATTATGAATAATGCTGCTATGAACATTCATGTACAAATTTTCATCTGAACATATATTTTCAATTGTCTTAGATTATATATTTAGGAGTGAAATATTCTGGGTCATAAACACATACAATAATAGCTTCGTGTTTAATTTGTTGAGGAATCGCTAAAGAGTTTCTATAACAGCTGTATCATTTTACATTCCCACCAGTAATATATGAGGGCAAGGCACTTGCTCTTAGAGATTAGATAATCCCAAAGAAGGAAGGACATTGTCCTTTATAGATGTCTCAAGGTCAAAAGAGATAGAAAAGAGATGTTTCGTTAGGGAGGGAGATGTTTTATTAGGGGAATGAATGGCTCACAAAGTCCTACTGACTCATTTTCTGTCAACATTACCATGGCCTTGCTTAATTCACATTGTGACTATGTGTTTAGTCTTAACACAAATAGCCTGGATGTCTATGGCATCTCTTTCCAAACAGTATAGTACCTTAAAGACATCATTTAATATGTATTGTTTTGTTTCCTATTCAGCTGGGAGAAATAGGTCTTCCTTTGCCTACTTAGCTTCATTTCTGGAAATGAGCTTTTCAAAAAAGCAGGAAGATCAGCCTTGCTTTAAACCATCAAGCTGCCTGAATGGATTTCATTCATTATTTCAGAATTTTTATTTAAACTTTAGGTTAAGGCAAATTTTATATGTCTAAAGACTTTTGGAAGTTAAAAAGACATAAGGGGTTCCATGTATGTATGTGCACGTGTCTATGTGTGCACATTTGTGCACACATGTGTGCCTGTGTGTGTGTGGGCACCACAGAATGAGGTGCACATGCTGTCCATCAGGAATTATCAACAGAAGGCCACCACTTACCCTGTGAATGGCAGCCAGAGTCTATGCCAGCCACACTGGTAGATACGAAGTTTCTGAGCCTCCTTGAAAGAAAGCAACATTGAAAGAAAAAAAAAAAAAGAAAGCAACATTGATTGTTAATAAAAATGATTCTGAATCTAAGGTTATATGTATGAAACTGATGAATGGAGTAATAACAAATGGAAGAAATATATTTATAAATGAAAGTGAACCTACATTTACTTCACTAAAATTGATTTTTTTTCTCTCGTCCTAGATTTCTCTATCACACTATTCAACTTCCCCAAAAGAATCAGCACAAAGGCAAAAACACAACAAAACTCCCTCTCTGTTCATAAAACTCCTGTCCTAACTCCATGCCCTATATAAACATGCAAGCCTTTGCCCTGTGCCCTAAGGGACAATCTCTCCAGACCTTGAACCTGAAGAGAGTCTATTTCCAAGGAGAGGGCATTCCATCTGCCCAACTTTCTCAGATCACGCAGCTCCTCTCCAAAGACAGGCAGCCACAGTGGCTCAGTTGATCTTGGCAGGTGCAACAGCACAGATAGAAGGGAAGAGAGATTAAGAGGGGGAGGGAGAGTTCCCTGGAGCCAGGAGGCAGGAGTAGCAGGGGAGGCCAGCTGTCAATCAGCTGTCACTCAACAGCCTGACCAGCAATGCTCAATGCTCCCCTTCCTGAGACTGTGGAGAAGTGTTCTGAGCAGTGTTCTAGGTTAGCTCCCCTCCAGTGTGTCAGCAGAGGCAGAGGCATCCTGTGATAAACTCTGAAATACAGAGGAGAAAGAAAAGCCACAGGAGGAGACTAGCCTGGCTCTGGACCCTCCCTCTCATCTCTAAGCCTCCATTTCTCTAGCTCTAAAGGAGAGGCGGGTCAACGTGACATTTGAGAGAATACATGTAAGAGTGTTGCTACTAAATGAATGAAAAACACACTAACTCAAAGTTAGTAGCTCTAAAACTCAAGAGTCTATCAACACCACCTGGAGTGCCTGTTGAAACACAGATTACTGGCTTCACTCCCAGAGCTTCCATCCTTTAGGTCTGGAGTAAGGTCTGAGAGTTTGCATTTTTAACTTCCCAGGCCGGGGATGCTGATGGGGACCACACTGTGACCTCTAACTGTGAAAGCGTAGGATAAACGTCAGCTAGAGTTACAATGCAAGATCATGAGGCATGTTCAGACTGAGCAGTAAAGAGGAAATAAAGTCATTGTCTAGAATAAGCAAGAAAGTATTAAGACATATATAAATATAAAACATATAGTGCTTAAGTTGACACTACTAGAATGTTGCCGTTTAGTCTTTAAAGTCAAAAAGACTAGGAATTCATCAGACAGACATTTTTGACCAACTAATATCTTGCAACTTAACAGAAAGAGACCAAGCCCACCACTCTGGGGCTGGAGCTTCTTTGTCCTACCAAAGGGAGATGAATCTGAAGAAGACTTCTCTTCAGTCTCTCTGTCTGAGGGTAGCAATCTTGAACTCAGCCACCCTCTTCCCCTTCCAGATATCAGAGGGAGAAGCCTCTCAAGGCAGAGGGTGCCCTGGGACCCATCTACCCTTTTTTCATGTTCTTGACCTTTTTGCATGGGGAGCTAAAAAGCTGGGCTGAGTAAAAAGTGACTTTCCCCGCAAAGCTTCCACAGACTCTGCTAACAAGTTCCTGAAAACCTACACTAACTGCTCAGTGAATGTGGTATATGTACGTGTGGTACAGCACATCCTGTGTCGGAAGTGATACTTTTCTGCTGGTGGTAACCCTTCTTTTGACCTTGGAGCTCACTGAACAGCTAAAATCAGATGATATTTATATGTGAAACATGTGACATATTATGCCCTTTGGCTTAGTGACCCATATAGGAACCAAATGGAAGCCAGACTGAAAATCAACATCAAATTGTTGAAATAAATTCAATTTAAAGAATGGTGATTTGGGGAAGTGAAAGAATTCTCCCTAGATTTGTTTACTGTGAAGTAAAAGGGAAGAACATTTTAACTGGTTTGAAATGACATCTGATGAAATGACATGGAAGGTGATCAAACATCATCCTCTCACAATGGTTCTGATCCAGTTTAGTGCCTCTTTTCTCTTGCTACCTTCCCATTTTACCCACTAAAGAGCTTCTCATATGAGAGGCTAAGAAAAACCAACCAACATAAAGTCCAGTTTGAAAGTGAGTGCTAAAAACTTAACCATAATTAAGCTAAGCAATTACCTCCTGAAAATTCATTGGGACCAACTCTAAGCATATAAATTATAAAATCCATAAAGTTATAAAGTTAAATATCTACAAAGTTATAAAATCTCCGGTATCTCATTTTTCTTTGTCCTTCCATCCGACTTCCTCCCATTCACCTCTCCTTCTTCCCTCCCTTTCTCTGTGAATCTCCTCCCTTCTCTATTTCTTACCCATATTTCTTTTTTTTAAATAAATTTATTTTTTATTGGTGTTCAATTTACCAACATACAGAATAACACCCAGTGCTGATGAGCAAGTGCCCCTGTCACCCATTTACCCCCACCCCCCGCCCCCCTCCCCTTCCACCACCCCTAGTTCGTTTCCCAGAGTTAGGAGTCTTTATGTTCTGTCTCCCTTTCTGATATTTCCCACACATTTCTTCTCCCTTCCCTTATATTCCCTTTCACTATTTTTTATATTCCCCAAATGAATGAGAACATACACTGTTTGTCCTTCTCTGATTGACTTACTTCACTCAGCATAATACCCTCCAGTTCCATCCACGTTGAAGCAAATGGTGTCTTAGCCATATTTCTTATTTAATAAACCTATTTGCAAAAAAGGAAAGAATCTTGGATTAGTCATTCACACTTTAGTGTGAATTAAAGTCAGTGAGTCAACTCTCACAGGAATGAGGATTTCAAGCCATAGCTCTAATTGTAGAATGGCTGTTTTTGAACTCCTTTAAGTTCCTTTATGGAACAGCTAAATTCAAGGAAGAGAAGAACTGCTCAAATCTGCCTTTGCATAAATGCAGCCTTGATTCCAGTTTTGAGAAATGAGAGCCTTCGGCTGCCACTCCAAATTAGAAGTGAATTCAGATTAATTCACAGACACTGAGTGAAAGTTATAATTTGTCCATTGGGGATTTGTTGGTTTCAAAACCCTCCTCTTCTCTAGGCCTCAGAAACATCTATTTCTGATGGCCTGTGTCAGCCTTGTAGGATCTATTCTCACTCAACACCTGGTCTCTCCACTCTGGAAGCCCTTTCCCCCAGCAAGTTTTATTTAAAAGACCCAACATGAACTGCTTGGGCCAAATGTAGCTGTGAACCCTTCAACAAATGTTCTGCTCTGGTGAGCACGACCCTCAGAGCAGAAAGTTGATAGCGCTCTGACATATGGCTGGTCCCCTGGAGTCTCTCACTCCTCCCTCAGCCGGAAGAACTTCAAAACTCTGAGCCAGTGGAAAATTCAGTCTGTTCCAAGCAAGAGAGACAAGTGTGCTCCCAAAATGAATACTGGTATTTGGAAATACCCTAGGGTATTATAAATATAATCTTTCTGAGGTGTGTGTGTCAGAGAGAAAGAGATGGAGAGTGTGTATATATGTGTGCATGCACATGCGCATGCGTGTATGATGACAGGAAGGGGAGGGCGTGAGCACAGGCCTAAAGCCAACAAGTATCAGTGTCAAGAACATGAGGTCAGGCATGGAGAAGAATGTTCACTATGTGCCCAATACTAAATTCAGAATTTTCTACTGCTTCTTTCCTGAAGAAATGGGAGAAGGGAATTAGAGAAAGGGGAGAAAAAATGAGAAGAAATGAGAGAAAGAAAGAGAGATAAGCAGAGACAAGATGGAGAAAGTGGTGATGAGAACAGAAAGGAATAGGAAGTGGGGAGCCTTACCACATAGAACCAAACGGCCTGGACTGAGAGAGACAATCAGGATGAAGAACTGCTGATCAATCACAAGTCCCATCATTAGTTACAAGTGATTCATTTCTCCCTTTATTATGTTTTTCCAACTATCAACTCTCCTATCCAAATGGCCCACCCCTCCCATAATGCTATGCCAAGGCTAATTCTGCCGTCCACAGGACCTTCTGTGACCTGCCAAATCAATGGGCTTGTCCTGCTGGGTCTTAGTCCCTTCTGTATCTCTGGACATGCTTGCTAAGCCTCTGGGGCTGAGGAATAGAATGAAGTGAAGTGAAGTGACCCCAGAAGAGAGCCCCTATGACCTTCACTGTTCTTTAACCAACTGAGCTGACCAGCCTGAAGAGGCAACAGGGGCCCAGCTCAGGGGCACTTAACCCTGTATGTCACATGGCTCTCATTGGCAGGCCAGCAAAGCCTAAAAACATCTTCTCAGAATAGTGTTTTAAATATAAAAAACTGGGATCCCTGGGTGGCACAGCTGTTTGGCGCCTGCCTTTGACCCAGGGCGTGATCCTGGAGACCCGGGATCAAATCCCACGTCAGGCTCCCAGTGCATGGAGCCTGCTTCTCCCTCTGCCTATGTCTCTGCCTCTCTCTCTCTCTCTCTCACTGTGTGCCTATCATAAATTTAAAAAAAATAAATATAAAAAACTATAAAAGAAAAAAACTATATTGTTATGGATATCAGATATTTAAATAATATGTCACAATAATATTTGTACTTCTTTATCAATGCTTTAAATACTAAGATCTGATGAAGGGTCAAATAACTACTATCATTTCAAAGAGATGTTTTGAGATGTCTGCAACAACTATCAGGTGATATGAAAAGATCTGTGATCTCTATGGTGACAAAGTCACAAAGTTAATACCACTGCAGTCTGTTGCCTGCATTCTTAACTAGAAGGAAAAGCTAGATATCAAGGAAAGTTTAGATGAAATTGAGATGCCTTTTTTTCCCATTCAAATTCATGAACCAGAACAAAGGAAATAAAGGAGTCACTGATGATAATAATAAGAGGAACTATAATAACAAAGCAATATCTGCTACAAGAACAGCAAACATGGCTGCCATCTATGGAGACCCTTCTCTGTATTGGGCTCTGGTCTAAATGCTTTTTGTATATCATTTCCCTTTATTCTCACTCAGTT